ATTAGCTAAACATTTACTGCCGAAAAATATTTTTTGCATTCAGTNTCGTTACAAGTGATCATGAGGTCTGTAGGGGAGGAATAAATTCGAGATCCGCCTGAGGTTTGAACTCCCGGCAGCAACTCCACAATCCGTTAGACCGAGTTCCCTTCCGTCTTCCAAGTCAGACGATACTACTTCGACTTCAGCCAATTACTACGGCGCGGACACGAGGTAAGACTCTACCAAACTCGTTCCTTTGTTACTGTCTTTTCAGACTTTGATGGTGAACTCCTCCTCCTCCAAAAGTTTTAGCAGATATAGCAAACGGCTCTAATTTGTTTCCTCCAAGAGCCTAGCATACGTCTCATTCCCTCCGTTTGCGAAAAATTTGGACATATCTCTTGTTCTGGAAGGCAAGGGGGATCGGGCCCTTCTCTGCCAATGAACTTCTGATCGTAATCCATATTTTGCCGACTTGGGAAATCCGGTCTTCGTGGCTATAAATTTAGCCACTGTTTCGAAGGGCCTAGTCCTTCATGTTGGAGTCAGACATGAAGATTTGTCGAGTTGTAGACGCTTACCTGCCGGAATGAAACTAAAGATCAAGGAAACGAAATGTCATTAGGTCAGCCAATCATAAGTAGATAAACCAGTTCTGATAGCCGGAAAGGAAAGGTTGACTGGTTGCCAAGATGTGAGTAAAAAAAGAACCAAAATGAAGAAACACGAAGGTGTAAACGATGAGCAGACAAGGATTACATACTCCGTATCAAGAAACTTGAAGGCCACTTTTTTAAAACTACGCCATCTTCCAGAACTATTCGCGTACCTTTGAGTGGCCGATTTGATAGCAGTTTGCTTAAGCGGACTTCACCATCATTCCGACTGTAACTCGGATGTAATGCGACAGACCTTTCTACCTGCATGAATAAGAAGGACGGGGTCCTCTGAAATACCATCGAATTCAGTATTTCGTCTCTTACATCTACATTCTACTGGCAGAAATATCAAATCTCAGTAATGTTGAGGGAAATATTTCCTTTATATAGTGAAGATGACGAAGTATCGGAGACAAGTAATTGACCTTGCGGAAGATTTGGGGGGCAGTGTATAGCGTTAAAGACGGGAAGGTGGCCAAATCTGTCCTAGGGTGTACAAGCTGTGTGCGTAAGGTATTTGTTGACTGGTGTTCTACGTGTATCTGGTGTTTTTCAGTTGCCTTTCGACTAGTTCAGACATCTTTTTTCCAAATCAACCATCTGACGAACCCTCCCATACGTAAAAAAGGTGTCCAAACTAGTCGACAGACAACTAAAAACCACTAGATACACGTAGAACACCAGTCAGCAAATACCATACGCACACAGTTTGTACACCCTAAGGACAGAGTTGGTTATCTTAAAAGAAAAGGTGTTGTCTACAAAATCCCATGTTCCATTTGTGATGCAGTCTATTGTGATCAACTTGGGAAATCTGTCTCAACCCGTATACGCGAACATCAGTTAGCGGTGAAGAGGCGCGGCCATCTATCCCAGGTGGCCATGCACACACTAGACACTGGGTACAAATTTGCATGGGAGAACACTCGCATTGTTGGCGCCTGCGAAATAAGGAAGGGCAGCGAATTCCTGGAGGCAATGCACTCAGATGAGGCATGCATCAACCGACATATCGATCTAGATGCCACATATAAAGTCGTTAAGGACAAGTTTAAACTGGCACAAACAATCCCGAAGAGGTAGTAAAGCGCAATTAACGGGCGTTAACGCGGATGTTGACCAATCACAGAATCCTTTGTTAAGCTCAGCTAAGAAGTTAGCTGTTTTTTTACACTCAGTCTAACGACGAGTTGGGGGTCAGCTTCAAAGATTTACACTAGAAAAGTTTTAGTTTCCCAAAGAAGTGTATTATGGTCGTATGGTGCTCGCCGATCGCTTTACGGGGCATGCTCATCTCGGATTTGGTTTTGAGCCCCCGCAGGCAGTCGCACAACTACTGGTGGCATATAATGATAGTGGGATACCGACAAAAGCAAGCGAGACCGGAATGGTCCTTTCTTGTTTCTTAGCCACCATCAGCCATTCACACCCAACCCGAGCGGGGATCACCTGGGATTCGGACCCGGAATCTCTGACCACTGAGTGCAACACCCTACCACTGAGCCACGGATCCCATGTTCTACCCGAGATCCTGGGTTTGAATCTCAAGTAATCCACATCTGGATGATGACGACTGATAAGCCCGAAAAGGTCCGCCCGGTTGTCCTTGTGATTGTCGGCATCACATTGTCACATGCATGCATGTACTGAAAAAATATACAACTTTAACTGGGTAAATTTTCGAGGCTGGCCCCTAAGGTCGTCATCACACTGTGGGTGATGTAGAAAAACAATCAAATAATTAACTGATTGGTCGACGTTTGTGCCAATACGCGTTGAATGCACTTCGTCCTTCCCACGTGATTGGCCGCGGTCGTTTGCATTTGCTCTTGAGAAATTCGTACAGGGCATTTAACTCGAAATGCCTATTGATACTTGTCTCATCTGAGTGTACTGGCTACAGCAATTAGCACCTTTCCGTATTGAGCAGGTGGCAGTGATGCGCGTGGTCCCCCACGAAACTTTGTGCCCAGTGTCCAGTTTGTGCATAGCCACCTGGGATAGACGGTCTCGTCACCCCACCGCTGGCTAATGTTCGTGCATACGAGTTGGAACAGATTTCCCAGTTCGACCGCAACAGACGGCATCACAATTGGCACATGGAATTTTGTAGACGACACCCTTCCTAACAAGGCAGCCAATCCCGTCCTTAGGGTGTACAAGCTGTGTGCATGAAGTTGTTGCTGGTTGGTGTGCTACTTGCATCTGGTGTTTTTCTCCGCTGCCTTTCGACATGGTCAGATACATGTTTCACGCATGGGGAGTTCGTCAGGTTATTGTTTTTGATGGCTGGGCGGTCGCAGCATTGGGAATGCTCTTCCCTTTGAATTGACGTGCAAAGTCATGCGGGTGCCCATTTTGGGAAAATAATCTGAAATGATACCTCATTTCTGCTCCGTGACTTTCTTCCTCAGAGCAGTGAGTTTTGAATCGATCCAGGAGGCTGTGGACAGAACTCAGTTTGTGAGAGACAGGACGGTTATTATTATATAGTTATTTACCATACAGACAACATGGGTACTAGCTAAAAGCCCAGACACGCGTGTTTCGCCGATCTTGTGCCGCTGCCTGGCGCCGGGGGAGGGGGGGATTTGGTTAGCACCTGTGCTGTCGGTACGATAAATAATTACATACTACTAGCTGTCTGTTGGTGTCTTGTGAATATTGCGCAGCAACTGATGGAGTTGGGCCCAGGTATTCATATAAACTTTCGGGCCGAGCCTGAAAAGGTTTGTTACGAAGAATTTACTCCGAGTTCGCACATCATTTCTCTCGAAAATCACAAAAGACAGGGTGGTTACTCTGAATATACAGGATAGCCTCTGAGTATGCCTGTTTGAGATAAACTGGTGCGAAGTGATCCATCAGCTGCTCACAGTAAGAGGACATCCAGTAATGAGATCAGCACGCCAACCTCCGTTTTGGAAATGAGCTCGATTCCTGGAAATATGGAGCAGGCATGACTGACTTTTCTTGGCCATAACAAACGTGTCAAGTACATAACGCAGCCATCGTTTTGGGTTAACTGTGGGAAGAGCAATAGTTTCTGATTTCAACATTATGGTCTCCGCCAGGAAATTAGATATAAGCGAACCCACGGGGTCTGCTCTTAGATGGCGATAGATTTTGGTAAACTCGAGAGAAACGTCAGCATCCGGAACACATCGATAGTACGACCGTCGGTTTTGACGATGTCCACCGTATACTCCACAGCAGGGTGGGAGCAGGGACGGTGACTTATGCGTGAATTAGCGTGAGAGTAGACTTGCACCGAATCTACCACACTCTCTCCTCCTCCCCCACCTGGACGCGGTGTCAAGACAGAGTCAAAAAGACCGGAGACGGCGGAGGCCGCAGCTGGATGGCACGGTCGAGCCCGCAACTTGGCGTTCCAATCCACAACCCATGGTCCATACAACAAAGAAGTAGGTTTTTGACCAACAACAACAAGGAGAGTGGAGGCTGGCACGACCAAAGCCGCACCTAGGCGTGCCGCCAACGCCCGGCTCAGATCCCACATATTAGGAGTGCCATAAAGGCCACATTCAGAAGGAGTCATTGCAGCCTGACTCTGAGACCACCAGCCGATCACTTCACACAAGCACGCATAACGCTGGCCGACCGCGAGTTCCAAGTTATCCTGTCAGTTGGTAACCCTTCAAGCCACGGCTTTTAGAGCACCGTGACAGATTCAAGCGCGTCCGATGGTTTATAGTGAGGAAAGTGCGCTGAGTCGTCAACCTCACTCTCCCTTCCCATTCCCACACCTCAGCCACTGTAGGGGCCGGTTAGCTGACTGCAGTGGGGAGTGGGCGCAGTGGCTGACATGGTCTGGTGACCATGTCTGCGCGCGCCACATACACGACCTCGCCCCCCAAACACAAAAACCAGGATTTCACTCAACGGGAGTTGAGCGACGTATCTCCCACTTGCGTGAGGGTGCCGTGGAAGGAGCCGTCTCGGTCTGAATCCCAGCCCACCAGTCCCCTACTCCACACACACACACACACCTGGACGAACTGCATGGACCGAGTTGGAGCACCAGTCGGCAACCTTCCAATCCACGGCGTTTTACGCATCGGGATAGTCTCAGGCTCCAGTTACCCATGCAACAGAAGCCGCACGGAGGCCGAGTCGAGACGCACACTTCCCACTTGCGTGGGAGGTGTCCGTTGGGTGTTTGCGGTGGGTGATGTTGATGTGTGGTGAGATGTTGGTAAGGGATAAAGTCGTGGTGTGGTGCAGCCGGCGGTTGTCTACCGCAGGTTTTCGTGGATGCGCATGTGACCTATGCAGTTCATGAATGTGCGAGGGCAGTGTGAATACTGGAGGCGGATGGGGAGTGTGTAGGTGGGTACTTCACGCACTGGATCGCCAATGCCTGTGCGATGGATTCGCAAGTGACCGACCAAGCCGATGAGTGGGGTAAATGTGCGCGGACAGTGTGGACATGAGCAGTTGGTGGTGTCGGTGTCGGTTCCTGGAGGATGGTGATTGTGGGGAGCGCATAGGACGACAAAGTGACGGCGGGTATGGGCGTGGTGGGTGTGTCAGGACTGCGGAGGAGGAGGAGGAGGAGGAGGAGGAGGAGGAGGAGGAGGAGGAAAAAAGTACGTATGGAAGTGTTGGTTTAGGAAGGCGGCCCGAATTAGTTGACGGCGTAGAGTGCGAGGAAGAGGCGGACAGAGGGAGGTCGATTGGTGCGATCCGAACAGTGCAGTTGATCCGGAGGTGTCCAACAAGTCCAAATGGCGCCGGGACTGTCTGTTGACACCGTGGACACGCGGAGGGCGGTTGTGCATTGGCAGTGCGGGCTGAGCGCAGCTGAGACTTGTGTGCTTCGCGTTCGGCTTTCGCGGCGGCAATGCGGTTGGCTTCGTAGGTCATAGCGCCTATCTTCACTGTCCTACTCCATGTCGGTCGGTCTCGAAAAAGGTCTTTCATGTTGGTCGGGTTAATTTTGCGGACGCCTCAGGGTGGACTTTAGAATATCCTTGTAGCGACGACTTTGACCTCCTGGGCGACGGGAACCCGAGGCGACGTCTCTATAGAAGAGTCTTTTGCGTAGCCGCTTATCGTCCATCCACACGAGATGGCCGCTCCAACGCAGTTGTAGTTGTCTCAGCATGGTGAAAATGCTGAGGATTCCCGTCCGTTTCAGTACATCAGTGCCCAGGATTTCGCCCTGCCATCTCAGCTTCAGTATGCGGAGAACACAGCTGAGGTGGAAGCGGTTGAGCCGGCGTGCCTGCTTCGTGTACATCGTAAAAGTCTCAGCTCCATACAGCAGCGTCGGGAGGACGACGGCCTTGTACATCTTCAGCTTCGTGCTGAGCTGAAGACCGTGAGGATTCCAAACTGCGCTTTGAAGACGGCCGAAGGCTTGACTGGCCTTCGAATTCAGGTGGGCTACTTCATCGTTGATTTTCTTGCTGCAGGAAAGGGCACTGCCCAGATACGGGAAGTTGTCCACTACTTGCAATTGGGTTCCGTTCACGCTGATTTGCGGCGCATTGTGAGCTGTGTTGGGTGGCTGTTGATGCATGACTACCATCTTCTGCGTGTCGACGACCAGACCAAAGTTCTCGCAGGCGGCGGCGGAGAAGAGATCCATGCTCCTTTGTATACCCCCTTCCGAGGTGGTGTTCAGGGCGCAGTCGTCGGCGAAGAGGGGTTTGTGAAGAGTGGTTGTGGATACTCGCGATTGAAAGTGCATCCTACTTTTGTTGAGGAGGTGGCCGTCCGTCCCGTAGGCGAAGCGGATCCCGGGGCGTCCATCAGCATGGCAGAGAACATAAGATTGAAGAGGGTGGGCGCCAGGACGCATCTCTGCTTCACTTCGTTGGTCAATGCGAATGCCTCTGAGACAGCTCCGTTGTCCGTGACGGGCGCCATCATGCCGTCGTGGAGCTGACGCACCATCTAAGTAAATCGCTCGGAACGGCCGAATTTCTGCATGTTCTTTCACAGTCCTTCACGATTCACCGTGTCGGAGGCTTTCGTCAGATGCATCAAGGTTGAGTACAGGTGGATCCACATCTCCTAGCACTGCTCCTGAAGTTAGCGGGCGGCAAAGTTTATGTCCGTGGTCTTACAATGACGGCGGAAGCCGCGCTAGCCTTCCGGCAGAAGACCCTGTTCTAGGTGATTATTCAAACGGTTGAGAAGGAGGAGGAGGTGGCGGGCAAAGATTTTCCCGGCGATGTTCAGCAAGGAGATGCCTCGGTGATTGTCGCAGAGCTGGCGGTTTTCTGTCCGCTTGTATAGATGCACGATTATGGCGTCTTTGAAATCCTGTGGGACTTATCCATGACGCCACATCTCCTGGACGAGCGCAGCCAGATGATCCATGAGTTGGGGGCCGCCGTGCTTGTAAACCTCAGCAGGGATCGCGTCCGATCCGGTTGCTTTCCCTAAAGAGCTGTTGCACGGCCTTTATGGTCTCGTGGAAAGAGGGCGAGAGGCCGAGGTCGCCGTTGGTCTCCACTTGCTGCAGACGAGCGATGGCGGCGTTGGAGATTGTGGAGGGGCGGTTGAGGACGCTTCGGAAGTGCTCGGCCCATCGGTGTAGAATTTGCGCCTTTTCATTTAGGAGAGTACTGCTGTCGGCGCTGAGGAGGGGTGCAGTACCTTTGGTTGGCGGACTGCAGACGACTTTGATAGCGGAGAAGGAGTCCTTCCATTTGTTGCGGTCCGCGTACCTCTGGGTCTCCTATGTCTTGCGAGCCATCCAGGCGTCCTGCATCTCGCGCGGTCGCTGTTGAACGAGACGGCGACAGCGGTAGAAAGCAGCTCTGTTGTCGTCAATGGGGCGGTCGGCGTAGGCCTTGTGCAGGCGGTTCTTCTCGGCGAGCAGGTTGTTAATGGCTGTGTCTTTGTCATCGAACCAGACCTGGTGTTGACGGTGTGCGCGACCGAGGACGACCATCGCCGTGGACTGGACTGTGTCCCACAGTTGACGCCATCAGTTCTCCATGGAGGCATTCTTGTCAGCGGCGGAGGCGCCGGCGGCGGCAGCGACTGGAGGGTTGTCCAGCCGTTGAGCTAGTTCATTACTGAAATGGGCATGATGAGCAGGCAAAGACAACAAGGCAATATTCAGATTACCTGGATGTCGCTAACCTTGTGGTCTCCTGCGAGGGTGTAGGCGACTACGCATCGTTGAGATGACGAGGTGATGATCGGTCCACCCGTCAGCACCCGCGATCGCCTTTGTCACCAGTACGTCCCGCTGGTTTCGCCCCTGGACGAGGACATAGTACAACATGTGTCACTGACGCTACCGAGGATGCATCCAGGTGGCCTTCTTTCGCATCAACAGACAGAAGAATGTGTTCGTCAGAATAAATCAGTGTTCTGCTCAGGTGCGGAGAGGGAGCAGACGATTGTCGATGGGGCCGCGGAGACCATGGGAACCCAGCGCTCCTCTCCAAGCAGCATGGTCTGTGCCGACGCGGGCGTTGAAATCACCAAGGACAATTGACTTATCTGTCTTCGACACACTCGCTAGGAGGGCGTTCTTGAGTCACTAGCGCCGTCCTCCGTTCCGGTCGATTGCTCCTTTGATCGTCTTAAAGGGATCAAACATTCCAGGCTGCCAGACTGAGCGGAATCACCCTGCCAGTCGTCGGCGACCCGTGCGGTGGGAGGGGGAGAGGAAGAGGAGGAGGAGGAAAGGCAGAAAGGGAAAGAGAGGGAGAGAATGCATAATCATAACAACTCAACCCCAAAGAAGGGAAATAACGAGTTGGAGATTCTAGTCAAGTACGATGTTGAGTGATAATCAACTTCAGAGAGATTCAAAACACCCAAAACGAGGTGCCGTTGGATGTTGGAAGTCCCTTAACGGCGTGTCAGATGTTGAATGCCTGTCTGTGGAGGAGCGGAATTATTCATTTTTATCTCGTTTCTCTGCACTTTCAATATGGCCCCCAACTGACTGTTGCCGTCAATGCTTTTGGGCAGTAGATATTAATTCTTCATAACAATCGCCAGTCTTTCGAATCTTTTTGAATTTCTGACACGACTGCGGATACAGTACGCAAATTACCTTGCTCTGTTTGCTTATCCAGAAGAACAGTTTCTTAAGCTGTTGACCGGTCTGGTCTAGATGCCACCCGGACTGCCGCGTAAAAATCAGAAGTCAGTTAGAGACTTATTGCGGACATAGTTTAGTGGAATAGAAATAGCCACTCCTTCCCACACCCCGCCCGTGTTTTAAGTAGAACTTTGATCGATTTTTCTTATCGCTGACGTGGTTTTTCTTCTACCCCGTTCTCATATAACTGTACTGGCCCGACGAGAATTTATCGAAAGCTACGTATGCTCGCCACCTCGTCTTCTGATTACTGCTATGGGAATTTTCGCAACTCATTCCTTTTTCTTAAAGAATATCATTTAATAGTGCGCCTGACCCAGGTTTCCGCACGTTCGAGGTTTGAAATGGAGTCCAGTGGAGCATTTGTGATTTAAATCTAACGCCACATCTTCCTCAACCTGTAGACTACGTATTTCTGGTCTCAGATGCTAGTTCATTATCTCCGATACAGTTGCTTCGACTCCAGACTTGCTGTTTTTAAATTTTCGGGGCTATTATTGTTGTCACGAGATGCTAGCGTGAGAGCGAGCTGCTTTTAAAGTGATAGACTGAGCAGTTTTTGCTGACTCATCGTCTGCCTCCACTGAAAGTCACGCTAAGTACGTCAGGAACGTCTTCTGAAAACTGCCTTTAAATAGCAGCTAAAAGACCGCTGCAGAACGAAAAATGATGGGAATGACGTTTTAGATCATGCCCGTGAGAAGAAGCCACCCCGTAGATGCGTCAGATTTGAGAACGGCACGTGTTACCCAGGCAGCGCAGTGCGCGCATATCCCGTAACGAATGTCACATGGGGTATGGTCGCACGCCTAGGCGCAGTCTCCCTCTCCGTAACCCATTTGCACCCAGCCTCCGAGTCACATGTCCAGCAGGCCTTGACTGGTGGATGGGAGAAGAAAGAACGAATGAGGTCGACTCTGGATAGTGTCCCTGTACTTCAGCACATTCCTCCCCATAGAAATGTTGATGCGCTGAAAGGCGTGGCTTAGAAGGCTGTAAAGTGACTAGGTAACTTCATCCTCACCTGGCGGAGCGTTGGGTTCAATAGATCCTTTTAAATGTGGCCTTTATAGCACTCCCACCCGAATGAGATCCAAACCTCACATCTTCTTTAGAACCCAGCACATGTCTGCGGGAACAAGGCTGTTTATGACAGGTGTAAGCCGACATCGGTTCCACGTAGATTAGGGAGGAGAGAGTGCGTTAGATGCTTCCCAATGCTGCTATCATTAAAAACTAATTTACACTCAAGTCCCTGGTCTGCGCCGATTATGCTGTGGGGCACACGGTGGACAACACGATCGTGACGATCAAACTTTCAGCGATTAAGCTGTATTGTCTGTTCTATAGTCCAAATTCCATTTTGACCCGGCGCGGATTAATTTTGCAACTAATGCTTAAGGTCATCAGGACTTTGCGTGTGTGATGAGGAAACATATTAACTTCTGTGGCTGGACTGGGTGTCGCTATTTCGTCGTCGAGAAACGGCTGTCGAGAGATGGGCCAGATTCTGTACAAAAATGCAATTTCAAAGAATGAATGAGGGCAAGTGAAACTGCTATGGTCCGATTCTGTGGTCTGAGAAAACTCAATAAACCAGACATCCCACAGCAATTAATCGTTGCCCTGAAAGGCAGCAAAGTTGAGGTTCTCAAAAATGGAGTCTCCCCAACGCAATTCAACTATCTCAGTGCAATCGGCCTCTCAATTCCTTGCAGATTTCCGAGATCAGATGATCTGATCGAACGAAGTCGTGGTTTCTTTTGGTGTATTGTTGCTTTTCACATCCTTCTCACCGAATTTGACGGATTAAATCTCGTGCAACAAACTTGAAGAGGTTTACGACGAGACTCAGTGCCCAGTCAGAACTGAGGGTCTCATGAAGCTGTTCAAATTTTGTCAAAAAAGAAGAAGGATAGTCGAGCAACGGAACATTTTGTTTATTGTTGTGAGCTTTCGAACTCGTACAGGAGTCCATCGTCAGAGATAATTGCAGCAACAGAATAAGGGACAGTTACGGGGTCTGTAAACCAATCATCGACCGACGGCGCATAACTGCAGGTGACTGCGCAGAACTCTACGCGCAGATGCCAGATCGATAAGTAAATTGACTGGGTTCTCATCCGAGGCCCAGGCTCCAATGGGTTCTCCGGCTTCCACTTTAGTGGCAAAACTGGTCCTACAGGGGCTAGAAGACACTGTCTTTATCCAGCATGAGCCGATCTTTCGGCCTTCAGGAATTGCCTGCAGCAGAATTTTCATAATTTGTTTCATGATATACGGCTTATGAGGGAAGAATAACAGAGACAACAGCTGCCTTCCTTGATGTGCTCATCAGGCGAAGTTCCAATGGCGAAATTAGGACGATGGTTTACGAGGAAGCAACAAATACCACACGACTTCTCATCTTTAGTAGCAACCATCCGGTGTCTCACAAACAAAGCTGTATGAGAACGTTCTTCATACGGATTCAGACTTACTTCTGCAGCTCGGAAGAAGAAGTCCGCGAGAATCTGACGTTCCCTGTCAAATATCAAGGACGTTTCAGGGGCGACCGAGCGCAGTGCTGTGAAACCAGGTGTTAGATCTGCATACCTACCCAAAACTACTATGCACAGTGGAGTCATGAAAATCAGAGACCAATTAAGTGCCAGGGGGCAGTCTGGGGTAATGTATCACTTTCTGTGCCTAAACTGCCCTAGTAATTACACAGGTCAGACCGAACGCACGGTCGGGCGGGGCAAAGAATTATCTCGATTGGCCACCCACACCGTCAAAGCGGTTTACGAGTTCAACATCGCATGTTGTCAAGATCATCGCCCACACCAGAAGCAAGACAAACTGATAATCGATTGAGGCGTGGTCCACTGATGAGAATTCAGTTAGTCTATGCGCCAATCTGACGCTGGCGTACCGAGCCCGGCGCAGTCAACTCTAGACCTGTAGCACGGGTCATTCATTGGCTAATCCCCCCTATACATATTGTTTGGTTCTGTTACAGCTCTCATCTCTGAAAATAGACTCCCGTGAGAGTTCGAAATCTCAGAAAATGGACAAATCACTCCAGTGCTCGACCGGTATCCTTCTTCCCTACTCGACCATTCGCCTCCATCCTTGAAGACTTGGCCTGCTTAGAAAAAAGTACATAAGCGTAGTACATTGGAGTGGCATAACAAACAAGATCCTATTTCGTGGCCGTACCTGTTAGGGGTTAGGGTTATGGGTTTAGGTGTGGGGTTAGGGGTTGGGGTTAGCGGTTAGAGGTTGGGGTTAGGGGTTAGGCTGGGGCTTGTCTACAGCGGGTACGGCTACGAAGTAAGATCCAACTGCATGACGCTAACGGAGCATCTGCGCCATATCCGTTTGATCAGGCGCCAGATTTAACGCCCGACCTTCATGATCCTTCCAAGTGGGATAACAGTAAGTGGAAGCAGTGCTGTCTATTACGAGGAAGACAGAAAGGACGACCTCCCATTTACCAGTTGTCATTGGCCGTCCAAACCTAATCTCAGGTTTAGTTAGTCTGAGGCCTGAACTTAGGTATTTTGGTTGCCGAGCTTTAATTCAGACGACTTGCCGGTAAGCCACAGAGTCGCCGTCCTGTGGGTTGCGGCAAAGTATATCAGTCCCTATGAAAGTAATATTCTATCGCACGGAAAGAACATGCTCATCCCGCTTTGTCTGGTAACGATGCTGAATGAAGCACCATGAAAACGGGGGAAAGAGTCATCGTTGAGCACTGTGGCTAACGCCCTGCCAATGAGCTACGAGCTCGTTGTCCAGTTGGTTGCACTCCGAGATATTAATCATCGTGGAAGTTGGTTCGACGA